CGCGGCACTCACACAACCCGCAGCGGCCGCACCGCAACATTATATAAATAGTGCTTTCGGCAAATGAATTGCATACATCAATCGACTATAATACTAACAAACCTCGTGATAATTACTATCGTGGCTGTTTCTACAGCCTCATTTTGCTATGGTGCGTGAGGTGGGTGCTGCGTGCGGAACGCGGAACCGTGCGGCACGAGCTCCGGCACGGGTATCTATTCCCCGCTGTGCTGGTCAGATCTCTGACCTTGTCCACCATCTTCTCAATCTCTTCGTCGTCTATATTTATTAATCCAATCCGTCTGCGCATTTCTACAGCCTTAAGTTGAATTTTCTCGAGCATCTGCTCCTTCTTGTTCAACTGTGAGGTTAGTAGCGTGATTGAGGGTGTGTGAGTTGAGGCCAAGCCACGCAAGACTGCGGGATGTATGTAGCAAAGCGTCGGTAAGCCGATTTGTGGTGTCGTCATCATGTAGGTGTGGCTGTCCCTACGAGTCGGAAGAAGCAGCGGTGTTTGTACGTCGATTTAGTCACCGCACTACAGTCACAATGCTGCAGTCACGATGCTGTCGTCATTCAATACGCATTCCCAAAAGCAGCTGCAATCAAATTTCGGTCATTGCCATCAAGCTTTCGAATCATCTTTCATGTGCTTCAGCTCGGCCAACACCTTTCCCTTGCCCCAACCTTCCTTCAGTGCCTTCTTGAGCAAATCCTGCTCACTAGCCGGTGCCATGCCTGCCGTTTCTGGTACTCTTCTATCCAGGTTGGTAGGAAAGGGATATCCCTCCGCAACATTGCTGACAAAAGCCTTGACTTCCTCACTCAGACCGTTTCTCTTGTATACCTCCGCCAGTGTGTTCCACGTGCGCTCCACCAGCGGTAAGCTGTCGATCATCTCCATTGGCTTGCCAAATGCACTCGATATCTGCAGTAGGTTGGCTGAGCGCTGCACGTCGGTTGATGTGTTTGAGCCCGCAGCATGAAAGAGAGCTGGGTTGAAGAACAACCCATCACCTTTCTCTAGAGGTACACTGACGTATTTCTCCAGGAAGTAGTTCTGAAAGTCCTTCAGTCGATACGCCACGTAACCCTCTTCGAAGTTCTGACTGAATGGCAGCAGCCTCGTCGGGCCTGACTCGGGCGGCATATCGCTATGAGCGACCGCGCCCTGAAGGGTGAGAAACTGGCTTGCAATCTGCACAGCTTTAGGGAACTTCTCGCAGGAGTCTGCACCCTGAAATCCGATGTGATAATCGCGGTGGCTGATCTGTGCTGCGCCACCTGGTCGCACAATGTTGACCTGCGCAGTCAGACGGTGATGCGGACCAAGCCATGCCGAGGATATGAGCGGTAGCCACGGATTGGAGTAATATTCAAAGAATGAATCCGGATCTACGAGACAGTGTTTGGAGAAGGAGTTCCAGATGCGAGAATTCGAGCCGGAGGTAGCGAAGTGGTCGCCTTTCTTGCTCGACATCTGCTCCTCTTTCTGAATGATTGTGGAGTACACATCGTTTACTCTGTCGATCATGCCGAGATCGGTGTACATATGCTTGGTGGCAAAGACACCCGGACCATGCAGTAGAATGTGGTACCACTCGTCCTGAAGCGCTGAGAGTTGATCTGCGCTGTACGACGTGAATGTTGATAGGTAGTAAATAGGGACGTTCTTGACCATGCCTTTGGCAAGTGGATAGTGAATTGGGACAGATTCGGTAGTCAAGACTCTGAACTCGTCCAGTGAAGGGGGTTGGCTTGTCGAAAACACTCGAGGCGTGATTGGAGGCGCGGTTGTGATGCCATTGCCAGGGCCCTGTGGCGCCGAAGATCCGTTCACTGTAATGTCCATTCGGATGGGGAAAATACGGTTGAAAGTCTGAGTATGTGTCGCGTCAACCCATTATCAAACACTCGTTTTATCTGAGGGTGAGGTTCTTGCTCTGGCAATTCCACCCGCTCAAGCATCGGGCGATCTTGCCGAAAAATGTTGTTTAGCGTTTGGCGGGAGCGGCCCAAGATATTTGCTTCCCCGCAAAATCGACCAAGCGATGATGCCTGTTTCATCGTTACACCCTCTTGTGAAGCCCTTGAGGCTGGGCCACTGACGGGGCTACCGGCTTCTGCGGCGTCTTAGGTCAAAATAGCCGGTACTCGTTCACCCGTTCACATCGCGAACGTTGGCTTCTGACACAGGGCGATGGAGGATTGATTGACATGCCTTATTCGATACTGGGCGGGATTGCTGCAGGGCGTTGACTGGAGATATACGCGTTCGCACTCTGAGAGTGAGCTTTGGCCTCAAGTGTTCGAAGCAAGGCCAAAACCACAGATCTGATAATTACTGCCTACGCATATCTCCGTATATAGTAGCGTGCACGGCCTCGTTGTGCACCGCGGCGCGTAATGCACCAACATCAACATTGACGCGTACTTTGTAACCCCCTATAACTCAACACCACGATGCCGCTGGAAGAAGCCCTTGCAGAGCTAAATACTTTAGGCCCTACTGAAGACTTTTCGTACAGAAAGCTTGCCGAAAAACACAGTTGTTGTCACACAACATTAATCCGCAGGCACAAGGGCAAATGCGCGTCGCGTAAAGCCAAGGCAGAACACCAGATGGTTCTCCACCCACGCAATGAAGTAGAGGTTGTGCAGTACATCAAATCGCTCACAGAGAGACACCTCATGCCTACAAGAAAGATTCTTGTCAGAATAATCAAGTCGTTGTGCAAGTGGGAGCCCTCCGATCGATGGGTCACGCGCTTCCTTCATCGCTACCCTGACGACCTTCTCACAGCCTGGAGCGCGCCTATGGAAAAGCAGCGCCACGACGCTGCTTCATACGATTCCTTTCGCTCATACTTTGATCTGCTGCACAGTACCATTAAGCAGCATTCAATACAGCCAGAGAACACGTACAATATGGATGAGAAGGGATTCATGATTAGAGTGATGAGCAAGGGCGTCAGAATCTTCAATAAGCAGCTCTTTAGACTCCAGAAATACAAGCTAGCATCTCATGATAGCAACAGGAAGTAGGTGACAGTGGTAGGAGCAGTAGGAGCTGATGGTTTTACGTTGCCGCCCACAGTCATTTATCCTTCATCGTCTCTCCAGATGCAAGAGAGCTGGGTGCAGCGCGTTAAGGCCAAAAAACACAATATACACTTTAGTACCTCAGTAAATGGCTAGACGAACGATGCTCTTGGTGTTGCCTGGCTCAAGCAAGTGTTTGATCGCCATACAAGAGTGAGGGCGCGAGGGAAGTACAGACTCTTGATCCTTGATGGCCACGGCAGCCACGTCACGCAGGCCTTTATTGAATACGCTCATGCCAACAAGATTCTGCTACTTATATTCCCTCCGCATGCTACTCACGCGCTTCAGCCGCTTGATGTGGCGTGCTACAGGCCGTTGGCGCAGCACTACTCTGATGAGCTCCTTCATCGCGGCCACACCACCGAGGGGTGGGTACCTGTGGCTCAGGCTGACTTCTTCCCGCTTTTTTGGGCAGCGTGGAAGAAGACCTTCACTAAAGACCTTGTTGTACAGGCCTTCAAGTGCACTGGGATTCACCCACCAGATGCCAACGTCGTGCTCAAGAAGTTCAGAAACCCAACACCAAAGTCGCCCAGCACGACCCCAGAGCCTACTCAGCTTCAGCCTGCACCAGAATCACCTAGTTGGCGCAAGACGTCGCGGCTTCTCAAGCGTGCAAGAGAAGATAATGTACCTGGTGCTGCTGAGGCAGTTGATCAAGCCCTTCACCAACTCCACGTGCGATTAGAGATCTCAGAGGCTAGGGTTGACGGCCTAGAAGAGGCTCTGAAGGCTAATAAGAATAAGAAGAGGAAGCGGAAGGTACTACCTTTGCAACCTATCGATGGTAATGAGGGTGGTGGTGCGGTTCTCTGGAGTCCTTCACGCATTGAGCGCGCAAAGCAAGAACTCCAGGCAAAAGAGGACCTTGAGCGCGCTGCAGAGGCAGCAAAAGCTACTAAGAAGGAGCTTCAACACCAGAAGAAGATTATTCAAGCAAAGGAGAAGGAGGATAAGCGTGTAGAGCGAGAGAAGAAGAAGGTATTGACTGCTAAGGCACAGGCTGCGAAGCGCGCTCAAACTGAGGCTCGTAAAGAGGAGGCAAAGCACAAGAGCAACGCAAAAAAAAGTACTCAATTGCCTGAACAGGCTAAGAGCAAGGCCTCACAGAAATCTCAGTCAAAAGTAACAAAGAATCGTGGTGGTAGTGCCGTGCGTAGTCAGCGGGTGCCTCACAGGTCGCCCTCACCACCACCACCTACCACGGCATCTACTAGCCGCACCACGCGTCCTCCCAGAAAACTGTGGTAGCTAAAAGTTTCGCAAAAGTCTATTTAGTAATCTACCAAATCATCTTGTAATAGCAGCGTCGTGGTGTTGCTCAATAATCTCACTTGTTTCGGGGTACAAAAAGTGATGTTGGTGCATCACGCGCCGCGGTGCACAACGAGGCCGTGCACGTTATGCCAAGACAATAGATCTTAGCGCGAACATCAAGATGCTACAATGCACACCCCCTCTACACAAGGCATCATTCTAGATAGACTCAAAATATAGGTAGGGTGTAGGTCTGCGTGGTATCTTGCACCTTTCTTGTAACTTTTAGCAAGTCTCTAGATCTACGTGTTGGGCGCCATCATGTATAAAGCTTTTGCGCTATGTCACATGATGTCGATGGTATTCTGAAAAGCACCCGTAGCTGACCTAAGTTAGCCGTCCCGTTAGGGGTCTGGGTCTAATACCTTATAATCCCAGTCATGTCGGTGACTGTCTATACCTGGGGTAGTTAGCGATGGCGCAGATCTTGACCTATCTGAATGATAAAGTGGGGGCCAACATCTGCGCCAAACCTAACTACCCTAGGTATAGACTGTCACCGTCACAACTGAGATTATACGGTAAATGGACTCTAACGAAGTCAAAGAGGGTGCAGAAACGCGCTGCTTCGCTACACCCCTCACTACCCGGCATCGCGGACATATGTGTACTGACGATGTATCATTGGAGCGAGATGGGGATTCACCACTACCCGCGATCACTCTGCTGCAGGGGTGATACATCCTGTCGGCGCGGCGGCTGAGACCTGATTGGAATCAATTCGTGCGAACAATTTCGCGGGGTATAAACCACCGCCACGGATACCACGTATGCCAACGTTTAACATTACACCGACCTCAGCAACCTTACGAGAAAGACTAGACCCTGAACCTATCGGCAACACTACAGACATCATTGTACCACGTTTCGAATCGACGACCGGGACATATCGATCCAGAAGGCTCCTCACGACGAGCCTGCAATTCGCGCCTAGCACACGTCCTCATTTGGTCAGCCACATCGTAAGAGGCGCAGCTCCTTGCAAGCATGCAAAGCGCTCTCTCCAGGCTCTGCAGCTTGTGCAATGACATCGATTTCTCGGCCCTTGTATGGCCAACTCTGCACATGAAGCAAGTCACAACGGCGAAGATCGATTTGGGCGAGGCTCAAGATGTCAGAGCACGAGCCTCGGAATGCGACTTCTGTCACTTGATTATCAGCCGATTGGATCGGGTTGAAGATCCCGATATCGAGAAAAACGCCCACGATCGATGTTGGCTAGGGACAAAATTGTTTGACTCGGCGCAGGTTGTAACGGAGAGACCAGGCAACGGGGAGATGTTCGAAGTCTGCTGGCTATACATCGAAATCGCTCCCACGACATTCAAAGGCTTTGTTGGGCCGATAGTGCCTGATATAATCTACAAACCAGGTGTCCAGAACCCGACTTCGTCAGATGCAACCATCCAATCTCGGCCGTGGACTCTGATGCACCTGCAGGGCTGTATAGATCCGATCCCCCATGTTGATACGTACTGCCAAGGTGATGGTTTGTTGGCAGCACCACTGTGGGAAAGCCGATACAGCGGGCGGTTGCGAGATCCTGTTCTCCACCATGATTTACCTCGTCGCTGGCTTCAATTGTGCATGGAGCACCACAAGAAAGACTGTTCGTCCGTCCCACATCCAATCGTGGACGACTTTAGAGTCATCGACGTGCGAGAAATGGCGATCGTGAGGGCTCAAAGAGCATGCCAGTACGTCGCTCTGAGTTACTGCTGGGGGAGTTCGTCGACTGTCCTGCTAAAGCGCGATAACATTGAAAGCTTCGCCGTGGCACGATCTTTGAGCAACATTACCCTGCCAAATACAATCACCGATGCTGTGACTGTCACGCGTGGATTGGGAATTCGTTACCTGTGGGTGGACGCGCTGTGCATTGTGCAGGATGACACAGCCCTGTTGCTGAAGCAGATACCTCAGATGGCCCACATCTACGAGCAAAGTGTATGCACTATTATCGCGGCGGCTGCAGAGAATGCAGACGGTGGGCTTGCAGGTGTGCGCTCCGGCACACGAACTATCAATTCCATTACGATAAGACTCCCAGGTATGAATCTCGTAACGGCTGCCGAAGATCCGGAACTTCCGGGAAATAACAGTTTAGAGCGTCGAATGGATTTAATGGACTATAGGTGGCGCTCACGGGCGTGGACCCTGCAAGAAGAAGTGGTCAGTCGCAGGAAGATATTCTTTGAAGGGGACCGAATATTTTGGTGTTGCTCGCACGGCATACTGACTGAAGAAACCGTCAAAGAGGTGGCAACAGCCCGTCGTTCGATCAGAAATAATCGAAGCGATACTGTTTCCAGTTCATTCCTTGAGATAAACACCATGTCCGAGAGTATCATGGATAAGGATTTCACGCCAGCCTTATACGAAAGGATCGTCATGTATTACTCCGAACGCAACTTATCTTTCCCATCAGATTCCATCAACGCAATAAGTGGCATCCTTCTTCAGTTCAGCCAGAAGCACCGTTTCAAATTCACATGGGGCCATCCTGAAGCCTGGTTCGCTTCATCACTGCTCTGGACTACAAACTATCAGTGTTCACCGAACGGCGGGGTCCAGAAGGTTACTTGGGGCGACAGCACAGAAGCCGAGATTCCGATCCCTACATGGTCATGGGCCGCATGGGTGGGTAAACTCGATGGCGACCGCGTTTTTTATAAATTCGCTCTCAGGCCTTATCGAAGCACACGCGGATACTGGTGTCCACTGTTCTATCGATGCACGATCGATGCCCGCAACAAGCCGCTGCCATACGCCTGCCTGAATCCCGAAAGCCTTCAAGGGCTTAACGGAAACCAATCGCATCCTAGCTGGGTGGGTCGCCCGCAGCACATCGATCTTTCAACTTCAGGTCCAACTCAGAATGCTCTGGATTCCGGGCTGCTTCGGTTCTGGACAAGCGTGGCAACCGTGTACGTTGGCAAACGAAGCACACTGTTGAGACGCGAAACGGTTGACCATGTGCTCCTTAATCAAAACGCCATACCGCTCGATAATGGGTGCTTTATCCAATCACTGGAAACGCTGTCATGGGCAGACGAGACACGATACGAGCATTACCCGACCGCTGTAGCTAACCTTAGAGAAGATTTTGTTCAAGGTGTCCACAAGATCCACGCTCTTGCGATTGAGCTGCATGATCGGTTTGTCTCAATTCTGATCGTCGAGAAAGTAGGCAATACATACTACAGGCGGGGCATTTGCTCGACTCAAGAGAACAGGTGGCTGAAATCAGATCCTAAGTGGTCCCTCATTACGCTAGGATGAGCGAGCCTGCAGATGTTTCTGGAGTAGTATCTGCAGGACAAACGCAATGAGAAATTTCACGCAGGTCCACAAAGTGCATTAGAGAAGGCAGGTAGAGCATTGTATATGACGGTAGTCCACACCAATGCCCTATTAGTCATGCCACCAACTCGTCGTCGCCTTCGCAGTGTACTCCAGATCGTCAATGAGCACAACCAAGGTCGGATCCAGAACAGCAAGGCGACCAGGCAAGCCGAAAGTAATCACTGTGAACCGAAGATCCCTATCTTTGCAGACGTCAGAGCGGTTTGCTGCTTGCCCCGGTGGGTTGGAGGGGTGGTAGTGATACGACTTCAAGCAGACCGGCTCGCTACTGGGTACCGCGATGTCGCTACCCTTACATCCAGTGTTGTTGATCATGTATTCGATGGGACCAGCAGCGGCACTGACTAGCTGCACAGACTCTTTTTCTACCCCTTGTTCTACCCCACAGCCGCACACTCAGCGCCACTGGCGTCTGGCAGCTTCCGCAGTAAGTAAGCTTCTGTGGAGTACATGATAGCGTGTTTAGTACTGGTCGGGCTTTCCCTTCAATTTACAGCCACCATGTTATCGTCATGGCCGCCAGTTATCCTCAACTCTGGTCCGAATTTCCGATCCTGCGGGGGTGATAATGCCTGATCGTCGCCTGGATGAGGCGTTGCTCGAGTTGGACTGAAACTCGGTGGCGAAGTCTGCTTCGTCTGTCTTGCGCGCCGTCGACACCGCCATCCGCTTGATCGGGTCCCCAAAGCGTATAATTGCACGTGTCTGGTGGCCGTATTCGTCCAGGCTGCTGGGCTACAACGATAGTGTTACACGCACTGGAAATTGAAATTCGACACAGCGGCGTGCTCACAACGTCCACAGACACACGAAGCCCGACCATCCACACCGAGAATCGCCGATTTGAATGCCATCTGACATCTGACCAACCGCACTCTCACGGAACGACAGCTAGTGAACTTATAGCCACATCCGCCAAAGCATCAAGCCTCAGGAGGTACACACCCACACCCACAACCAGAAAAAGAAAGTGGGAGGCGAGATTCTGCCGTCGGCTGCCTCCATGTCTAGAAGGTGTCAGAATTTCGTGTCACAGAAGTACCGCTGTTGCCCCTTTCACTCCCAGCGATCCCTAAAACAAATTGAACCAACGTTCAATCGCTTCGCATCCAACGGCGCACCGTAGACTTTGAAAGGCCGCCAGATAGATCATAGCCCATGGGCGGCGGATTCTTTATTGCATGCAGATCAACTCCCTCTCACTGTCGAGGGGAGAGAGCGACATTCTCGCTCCGTCGTGTAGATGTTGTGCTTGCTTAGTAAGAGCCCCCCTCTCAACCTCGAACCACAAATGCTCACAGGCACAACAGCGAAGAGTGAGCGAAGCGGGTAGCGCATTATTTCGTATCATTTCAGATTGCATCAGGCGGCAGGCAGGCGTCCAGCTCGTGCCCATGCTCAGCATGCCTTTACAGCACGACGCTACACATGGAACACGACGCACGTCCGGGACCCTCGAACCCCCCAAACGCCTTCCGCGCATCGACGCAGAAAGAAAACGGCTAGATCCTCTCCGCCGTGTGAGCGCCTCGGCCGCTCTTCCTGCCGTGCTAAGTCGCGCCCGTACCCTCCTTGGTCGCCTCATCGGGGTTCTCCTTCATCTTCTCCTCCCTCTCCTTCTCTCTCTTGCGCTCGAGCTCTCTAACCTTCTCGGGCGGGCTGTCCTCGACGAGATCGCTCTCGTTGTTGATGCCGCTCCACTTGGGCAGGCCGTCGGGGATGTCCATGACGCGCTGGCCGTAGAACATGTGGCAGCGGGGCTTGAAGTAGGCCTTGTCCTCGTCCGTCTTGAGGTGGATCAGCGAGGGGAAGAGAAGGATCATGTTGCGGCCCTCGTCCATGATGGGGCTGTGGCAGTACGAGCAGCGCACTTTGCAGGGCAGCTTGTGCTCGATGCTTTTTGAGGATGGGTCGTACCATTCGAGGTTGTGGTGGCCGTTGGTGAAGTTGATGTCCTCCTTGTGGAAGATGGCGGCCCACTGGAAGGGCGCGGCTGCGAGGGGTTAGCAAGCCAATCGCAAGTGTAGAGGGGGGACGACGCACCATGCTGCGTCTGGCAGGTCGTGCAGTGGCACAGCTTGCTATCGAGGGGCTCGCGGCGGCTCAGCTCGAACTCGACCTTGCCGCAGTGGCAGTTGGCCGTGTACTTGACGTCGAAGTCGTCGAGCTTCTTGTCATGCACGCGGTAGGGCGGGCGCTGCTTCCACTCGGAGATGCCGGTAGTAGACTCTCCGCGGCTCTGGTCCTTGTCCATTCTTCTAGCTGTGGTGGAGAACTCGGAGAACTTGGTGAACTGTGGTCGTGCGAGGTGCGCAGCTAGCAGACGTGCGCGAGGAAATGCAGTGGAGGTGGAAAGCAGTGGTGCACGACGCAGGGCGATTGCAGATACTGACATGGAGAGGAAAGTAGAGGGGTGAGGGAGGTGCTTGGACACTGCATTTGTTTGTGTCGCAATGGCTTCTATACTCATGTCGTTGTCATGACGTACGATTTGGACGACCTATCTCGATCGGGCTTAGGAGGGACAACGACACACGTCTGGCACGCGTCTCCATGGCGCCAAATCCCAATTCGCCCTGCAATGCAATGCTTTTCACGCTCGCTTGACCAGGATTCGTTTCCCGTGGGTCACACAGCATCCCAAGGTCTCTCACGCGCTCTTGAGCGCTTGCTGAGCCTCCTTGGCTGACAGCCCGAATACATTAATCAGATAGTCCCGCTCTGCGGAAACGTTAGTTGAAATCACCTCAGCGCCGCGGGTACTCACTGATATCGTTGGCTATGCGTCTCCTCACAGCCTCGAACTCAACCTCGGACTTGTCACGCGCGGCGTCTTGCTTCTTCGAGTTGATCGTCTTGACGCGGAACTTGAAGCGACCGCTGACTGGTCGGTGGTCTGATACCCTCACGCCGTCGTGCCGCCTGTAGTCGAGCTGCTTGATCCTACCCAAGCCGCGGTACAGCAGGCGGTCGCACCAGGCGGGCGAGCGCTTCTTCTCCGAGGTGTCGTAGTTGTCCGTGCCGACGTCGTACTTGTATGTGGGCGCAAACTCAATGGGCATTTCGTTGAACGCGCGCAGGCGGAAGCCGGGGTTGCGCTTGCGGGAGAGGAGGAGCTGATCGCGCTCCAGCAACTTGGCCAGGTTACCTTGCCGTACGCAGTCGATGACTGTGTTTCGTGGCATGGCGTCGATGCGATAGTTCAAGTCGCCGTTCAGGATGCAGATCTCGTGGTCTAGGATCATCGAGCCATCTCCACCGCCCACGAAGAAGTTTGCACAATCCGACGGAGACCGGTTCTTCGGCAGCGGCGCCGCTTCCATGATCGAGGCTGCATCGTTGTTCCGGTGCGTGGTCTGCGTCTGGCCTGCTGCAAGATGGCAGTTGATCAGGCACAGAGAAGAATCGTCAAGTAGGAAGCGAACGACCAACGCGCCCTTGTTCCCCACGCGACCACTGAAGCCCAGCTTGATCTCAGCAGCGCTCACATCCCGAATGTTATTCCGCTCCGACGACTTGACAAAGACACAGGTGAAAAGGCCAACCAGGTTGGCCGTGTGCAGCAAAATGTAGTTCTCTCTCGGCGCATGCTCGTCCAAGACTCGTATCAGGTGGTCTTTCCAGGCTCGGTACTGGTGCGACATGTGCTCGTGCTCGGAGCTCTCCTTTTGCTTCTTCTTCTTGAAGAAGCTTTTGGCGGTGATCTTCTTGTTCTCCAGGTCGACGAGCTCCTGGAAGCCAAACACCAGAATGTCTGGTGGGTTCTCCGGCTCGACAATGTCGCGCAGGAAGTCGCGATCGCCCGACTGCCGCAACGTGGTCGGCTTCACGGCGCCGGCATTCCAGGTCATGACTCGCGCAGACAATTCTCGAAACTCGCAGTACTCGGAGTCGCGCTGTTGCATCAGGGCTTCTGCGCACTGTTAGCGAGCACTACACATGGCAAGTCCGAGCTTACCAAGACAGTCCGTCTTCAACATGCCGTCCCAGATGCGCAGCATTGTGTCTGTGCCCAGGGATGCGACCTGAAACCTGTCCTGCTTCCAGATGCTCGTTCGATCTGCAATGATTCCCGCAATAGGCTTTTCGTGGGCCTTCCAGTCCTTCAAGACCTTCCAGGGCGTGCATGCCGGGTCGTACACATAGATCATACCCGTGCTGTACCCCGCCCACAGGTAATCGCCAGCTCCGACAAGAGAGCTAATCTTGTAGACGCTGACGTTGACGATGCCCAGGCATTCGAAGCCTTTCTTTGCGTATATGGTGACTTTGCCGTCAATGTGGCCAAAGTAGATGCGGTCCGGCTGACTGCTGACAATGGCTCCCGAGGTCACGTCTTGCACATTGAGCTGCGACAGCGGGCTGTCGGTGAGCTGCTGGAAGTAATTGTGATCCCCTGTGCGCTTATACACTCGCAGCTCCTTGGCGTACGCGACCCACAGCTGCGATCCAGACACAATGGAGAACGTGTGCCCTCCACGGATCTGGAACGTGAGCGGTGCCTGGTGCAGCGAAGGCGAGCCAGACTCGTCCGCGGGCCAGATGTGAATCTTGCCCGTCTCGTCCAACGACCACATCTCTCCCGCATACCTAAAGATCTTGGCAATCACGGCCCGTGGGTGCGCATTCTTAGTAAACACCACACTTTGCGTGGGTATGTCGATTTCGTGCATCTCGCCCGTGTTCATGCCCAGCCACAAGCGCTTGCCCTCGTGTTCGACGTCTTTGGCTGGCCTGAAAGCTAGCGCTGTAGCCTTGACAGTGTCGCCGTGCGTCATGGTCATGAGCAGGCGTCCGTTGAGGACGTTCCACACGTTTGTCATGTAGCCCGTCGTGCACACGTAGTCGCCGCAGACGGCAAACAGCTTCGTGTCGTATCCTGTGGGGATCCCTCCGATGGAGTCTGGAAACAGCGGGGGTCTCCGATTCGCCTGCGATGAGTCTGGGTAATCGGTCAGGGCTGCCGCCTGCTGCTTCTCAGGGGAGCTTTCGTCGTCGTCCGAGTCGTATGTGTAGGCCTGCGAGGCTTTGCGAGATGATTGTTGGGGTGGTGGCGTCGGTGTCGGTGTCGGCCTTCTCATCTCTCCCGACTTTCGGGGTGGAGGAGGCTCTGGAGGACCCAAGAACCTTGCCGGGGTGGTGGTGTTGATCGTTTGCGTCCGCCGCGGTGGGGCCATGGTCCTCGCGCCATCGTCAAAGGCCAGCGAAAGCGGCCGCCCCTGGTCAAAGGATCTCCGCACCGGCACGTCTGGTGGAGCTGGGCGCTGCAGCTGCACACTCTTTCGCAGGTCCGTGGCCTTTTCCCGTCTCACCGGCAGAGCAGGGCGGTCGTCCTGGCCGACGCCGTTTCTATGGGAGCCGGCGGTCGGTGGTGATGTGCGCTTGGGAGGTGCATTCGCAGTCCTCGAGTCTGCGCAAGACGGATTTACAGCGACTGCATGGTGCACTGGCGGAGGTGGAAAGTAGCCGTCTTTTAATATGCCCTTGGGCTTCGAAGCTACGGATGAGGCAGGCGGAGACGGATCTGGGGCTTTCGCACTGCCCGCACTGCTCGGGGGCGTGTTGAAGGGAGAGATGCGCTCGTCTTCCGACTTGGCTGGCTCCAAGCTCGCCCTCGGCTTTGCAACCGTCTCTATCGACTGCGGCTTCGAGGGTATTTTCGGCTTGCCAGCTCGATTGACCGGGGGCGGCATGGGCGGCGCAGAAGCAGTGGGCCGCTCGTTCCTGCGAGCATCGCCAGACACGCTCGACCCTGTGGCGGTGGCAGACAGGGGCTTGGTGGCGGCGGCAGACAGGGGCTTGGTGGCGGTGGCAGAAAGGGGCCTGGTGGCGGTGGCAGAAAGGGGCCTGGTGGCGGCGGCAGAAAGGGGCCTGGTGGCGGCGGCAGACAGGGGCTTGGCCAGTGGCCCAGACGTGCCATTCCTGCTTCCAAACTTCCAGGGCCGCGACGCTGCTGACGGGGAGGGCGAGTCGAGGGCGGCGTGCGACGTCGGTCGCGAGGGCCGCGGGGAGAGGATGGACGGGGCCATGTCCGCGGGGGGCGACCTGGGCGAGTTCACAGTGACTTTGGGCGGCGAGCGTGTGCGCGAGCGGGTGGGCGATCTGGGGGGAGAAAAGGCCACCATGGACGTCGGGCGCGGCTTGGGATTGCTCCACGGCGCGCGCAGCAGCGACGAGCGCGGGGTGGGCCTGCCGCTGCTGCTCAGGTCGCTCACGCTGGGCGAGGCGCGGTCGATGTGGTCGCTCGGCATGTCCAGCGACATGCGCCCGTCGGCCCTGCGGTTGTCGTCGGCGACGGCGAGGCGGTCTGCGGGGCCCGGGGAGCGCTGACGAGGGGCTGCTGGCGGCGGCGCGGGTTTGTTCGCGCTCAGGAGGTTTTCAAACTGGGCGCGGAGGGACGAGACGGGCTTCTGGAGCGTGGGTCAGCATGCGTGAGCGGCGCCATGTTCGCGACGTACGATGGACTCGGCCTCCTCCTGGCCGTCCTGGGCGTCCATGGCTGCGGGCAGCAGTAGGTCCCGCGTGTGTTCCGTGTGAGTTCCGTGGGTGTTCCGTGTGAGTTCCGTGGGTGTTCCTCCTGGTCAGCCAGCACCGGAAGGCGTCCTGCAGCTCTGCATCGACCGCCGAGGAGCTGGCGCAGGTGCGGGCGGAGGCGCGGGCGGAGGCGAGCTTGCGGCCGTCATGCGCCGGGGATCATGGGCGCGCGGGGCAGTGTCGGCCGTGTGGGAGGCGGGCGTTTGTGCGGGAGGCGGGCGTTGGTGCGGGAGACGGGCGTTTGTGTGGGAGACGGGCGTTTGTGCGGGAGGCGGGCGTTGGTGTGGGAGACGGGCGTTGGTGTGGGAGACGGGCGTTGGTGTGCGTGCGCGTGTGCGTGTCGGGCAGGCGGTTTGGTGGCAGCTCAGCAGCCCATGGATGTGTGCAGGGGAAGCGACCGTGGCTGTTCGGCGGAGACGCGTGGACCGTCGTCTATACGGCGTGCGTGCTAGGAATGCTGCCCACTACTGCAGGGATCGCCGGCTGATGCGTGGGGTTCCAAGCCTGTGACGGCCGTGTTTCAGCCCACGGCCGTGCTCTGGCGGCAGAGGGACGAAGAAACGGGCGGGTGCTGCGTGGCAGTGTGAATAATATGCACAGTGTGAATAATATGCGCAGTGTGAATGAGGTGCGCAGTGTGAATAATGTGCGCAGCGTGAATGATGTGCGCAGCGTGAATGATGTGCGCAGCGTGAATGATATGCGCAGTGTGAACAGTGTCCTGGGCTGGCCGTTTGCTGGGAGCTCTGGGTGAGAGCCGGTCTTGAGCTCTCATCAGGGCCCACGACCCTTTCCCGCAGCAGCCCAAAAAGTTACTGTATTAACCATAATAACAATCCGTACCGCGGTAGTGACCCGCGATCAGCAGACACCGCGACCAGCAGGCCCCGCGACCAGCAGGCACCGCGACCAGCAGGCCCCGCGACCTTCTAGACAGCCTTTGCACCAGCACCTTCTAGACAGCCTTTGCGCCGCCTCCGCCCTCCCCGCCTGCGCGCCCGCCCTCGCTGCTGTCGCCAGAATGTGGTGAGCACCCGCACCCGCACCCGCACTCGCACTTGCACCCCGCGCACCCCGCCGCCCACGCCGCTGACCCCCCCGCAAGCAAACACGTCCTCAACGCGCAGGTCTCGATCCGCTCGCCATGCTGCAAGAAGTGGTTCGACTGCGCCGAGTGCCACCAGGAGACGGCCACCCACGCCCTGCTGCAGAGCTTCGAGATGGTCTTCATCTGCAAAAAGTGCAAAAAGGCCTTCCGCAAGGACGCCCGCGAGTTTGAGGACAGGTGCGCTCTGCCAGCACGAGTAAGAAGAAGCGCTGACCACACAAAGCGACGAGTACTGTCCGCACTGCGACAACCACTTCGTCCTCAATGCCCTCACCCCCAAGGCCAGCCTGAACGTCGAGGGCGAGGATGCCCGCGTCGACAACCGCATGATCAAGGACGAGAGGCAGAGGCAAAAGGACCAGCGCACCATCTTCGACGTCGAGGATGCCGCCAACAGGCTGGGTTGACCTGGGGGCACACCAAAGGCATCAAAAGCGCCATGCAGCGCGACACAACACCCCACGTCACACGACAGCGCCGAGTCGAGAACGACCGACGCTGTGGAGGAGGAGGAGGACATGTGCTATATATGCCGTTCATCGAGTGCTGTATGCCGTTCATCGAGTGCTGTATGCTGTTCATCGAGTGCTGTATGCTGTTCATCGAGTGCTGTATGCCATTCATTTGCTAGCAACATGCCTTTCAATTCCTAGAAACATGCCATTCATTTGCTAGCAACATGCCTCTCATTTCCTAGAAACATGCCTCTCATTTCCTAGAAACATGCCGTTCATTTACTAGCAACATGCTATTCGTTTACTAGCAACATGTGCAATGCACGAGTTCATCATCATCATAAGTCCGAGTCTGCCACCTAGACGCCGTTGCTTCGTTTTGCTGCCGTCCATCGTGACCTCCCTACGCCCCGGACCCAGAGCCCTCAGCAGGCGTGGGGCGGGTGGGCAGCGCGCCGCTGCCCGCAGACCTCCCAGGTCTCCTGCTCGCCGCCTCCTCCTGCTTCTCTGTGTTGATGTTTTCCACGTACTTCTCAATGTCCTCCACCGGCAGCATCTCGAGCGCCTTGCCCGGTGCCGACACGGCGATCTCGATGTTCTTGGCGCCAGTCTGCACCACCTCCAGCAGGGACTTGATCGTGAGCTTGATCGTCTCCTCGCGGTCCATGCCCTCCTTGTGGTTGCGCTCGAGGAACTCGCGGACCGTCTTGCTCGATCGCCCAATGGCGTTTGCCTTCCTGTTTGCAGTCAGCGGGCTGCCCGGCTGCCGTTATTTCTTGACCGCTTACCATGCCGAGTAGATGCCAGACGGCTCGGTCTGGTACAGGCGTGGCGTCTTGTCGTTGGGGTCGAAGCCAACGATGAGCGTGCTGATGCCAAACGGCCTGACACCACCGCTCTGTGTGTACCGCTGCTGCACACCCGCAACGTACTTGGTGATGTACTCTATCGACACGGGGTCCTCGACGGTGAGACGATGTGATTGCGCCTCCAGGCGGGCCTTGTCGACGAGAATGCGGGCATCGGCGTTGAGTCCGGCGAACGCGAGCGCCACGTGGTTGTCGACGAGGCAGATCTTCGACGGCGTGATGCGTGTGTCCTGCAGCTTCATCGCCGACCTCTTCTCGCATCCCAGCACTACCAGTTCAGCGCCCTTGACACCGACGGCGCATGTTCCTGCGGGGTATCAGCTTCGATCTGCTTACTCCTCGAACCCGGTGACGGCGTACCTCGCTTGACCGCCTCGAGCGCATACTCGACCTGGAAGACGTGGCCGTCCGGACTGAAGACTACCCAAGTTAGCTACCGCCATCCATCACGTACTGTAGCTTTGTCTGTACCTGAGAGCGCGCGATCGTAGCCTGATGCCATCGTGTATGTTGTGGTAATTCACGGGAAGGCTGTCGTATGGTCAACTCAGTGTGAACGGCGACGTCGAGGTGATATGGCGGGGAGTGTTGTGTACGGCGGCAATCAATGCTCGGAGCTTGTGGAGCTGTCCGCGTCGTTGCTCTTGCCTGGCCGCGCCAAGCACGTGGCTCGTGCCTCATGTCTTATGTCATCGACCGTGAATTTGACAAGAGGCGCATCACCAAACATCCCGCACTCTTCACTCTTTCTCTCACTTTTTGCGTCATGGCGACTTCCGCGCGTTTGGTTTCGTCTCTGCGACGCAGTGCGCTGTCTGCTCGCCCTGCGTCGCGAGCTCAATGCTTGAGATTGGCACCGCAAGTCAGAAGAATAACTTCAGCGACATCGGAACCGCACCAACCAGACTCAAAAGGAGGTCTGGACGGCCCGGCACCTGCGAAAACGATAAAGTTCACTTCAGAGTCGTATGTGGCGATGAGCGGAAATAAAAATCACGTCCAAAATCTGACCCTTGCAGATATCCAGAAATCAAGAGAGACCCAAAGTTTGCTAAGCTAACAGAAGAGCATGTAAATTACTTCAAGGGGGTTGTAGGCTCAGAATCTGCCATTATCGATGGCGTTACCAAAGATGCCAGCGAAGACATCGAATCCTTCAACAGTGACTGGATGCGCAAGTTCCGAGGCCACACCCAACTTGTCTTGAAGCCGAGCAACAAGGAGGAACTCAGCAAGATCTTGAAGTACTGCAATGATAATATGCTTGCCGTCGTGCCACAGGGAGGCAACTCTGGCCTTGTTGGCGGTTCCGTGCCCGTCTTCGATGAGATTGTCATCAACCTCCAAAAGATGAACAAGATCCGTTCTTTCGATCCGGTCTCCGGCATCCTGGTCGCCGATGCTGGTGTCATCCTCGAGAACGCTGACAACTACCTGGCTGAACGCAACCACATCTTCCCTCTCGATCTTGGCGCAAAGGGCTCGTGTCAGATCGGCGGCAATGTTGCGACGAATGCAGGTGGACTGCGTCTTCTGCGTTACGGCAGTCTACACGGCAACGTTCTTGGCATTGAGGCTGTCCTTCCCGATGGTACCATTGTCAACGATCTCTGCACCCTCCGCAAGAACAACACTGGATACGACCTGAAGCAGCTCTTCATTGGTGCCGAGGGTACCATTGGCATCATCACCGCGGTTTCAATCCAATGCGCGGCACGGTCGCAGGCGGTCAACGTAGCCTACTTCGGTCTCGAAAGCTTTGAAAAGGTCCAGGAAGCGTACCGCACAGCCAAGGGCCAGCTGGCTGAGATCCTGTCTGCATTCGAGCTCATGGACGGTCGCACCCAGAAGCTTGTCCACAAGGTCACCGGCAAGAAGATGCCCCTTGAGGGCGAATACCCGTTCTACTGCCTGGTTGAGACAAGTGGTTCAAACACTGACCATGACGCAGAGGTACGCTAACCGCCGCAACGGAAAGACGATGCCCATGACTGACTTCGCTAGAAACTGCAAGGATTCCTCGAGCACGTCATGGAGACCGAGATTGTGCTTGACGGCACCCTGGCCGACAACCAGACTCAGATCCAGGAACTCTGGTCGTGGCGAGAGGGTATCACAGAGGTCCTCGGCCACGAGGGTGGTGTGTACAAGTATGATTTGTCGATCCCCATCTCAGAGCTGTACGACATCGTCAACGACACCAGGGATCGCCTGACTGAAGCTGGCCTTGTCGGCGATGGCCCTGACTACCCCGTCGTCGATGTCGTTGGCTACGGCCATATGGGTGATGCGAACCTACATCTGAACATCCCCACACGGAGATTTGACAAGGCCGTGGAGAAGAAGCTGGAGCCATTCGTGTACGAGTGGGTACAGAAGAGGAACGGCAGCATCAGTGCGGAGCATGGCCTCGGTGTGACAAAGAAGCCATACGTCAGCTACAGCAAGAATGAGACCATGATAAGGCTGATGAAGCAGATTAAGGATCTCTACGATCCTGTAAGTCCTTCACTCCTGTCAAACTTGGCATTCGCTGACCCCATCGCAGAAGGGTATCATGAACCCGTACAAGTACATATAGGCATCCGTGCAGGAGTATTGGACCATTTCTACCTTTCATCCTCCTACCGCAGTCATAGTCGTGTATCACAGGCTCGCTCCCTTCGCGATCTTCTTTTTCTCAAGCATCCTCCGCGCGTTTCCCTCATATATCCACCCCCTCTGTTCCTCATCGAACAAATGCTCCAACCCATCTCTCATTTTCTCAGCAAACCGCTCCACAAACCGCGTCTGCGTAAACGGAAAATCACTCCCGTACATCAACCTCTCATGCCCAATCTCAAACCCTTCCACGAGCGCTTTCAACTGCCCCTGCCCCCCACTCTCGCCATCGAAGACAAACCCAGCCAGGTCAAAGTAGAACTGCGTGTCTAGCTGCTCTCTCACGCGCGCCGCATCTAGTTGACGCCCTCCAGGCATGACAGATGAGAACTGGATGAACCGCGTCAAGAGCGGTGGCAGGGCGCCGCCGGCGTGCGGGATTATAAAGGTCATGTGCGGACACGAGTCCACTGTCCCGTTGCCGAAGAGGTTGACGACGGCGCGCGCCGTGTCGAAGAAGAACTCGAAGATGGGGATTGGGTACTGCTCGCCAAACGGCGTGGCATGCGTGGTCTGAGGATCTCCTTGCCCGGCACTGGGGTCGTGGGTGCAGGGCTTCGTTGGGTGGATGAACACGGTCGCCCGCAACTCGTTCAATCTCTCGAAGACGCGCGCGAACTTTGCATCCCCGAGATACAGCCCCCCGTAGTTCGTTATCAATCCAAACCCATCACAGCCTTCCGCGACCGCTTTGTCAATCTCCTCCAGCGCCGCGTCCACATCTGGCAACGGCAGGGACGCCCAGAAGCCGAATTTGTCCGGCTCCTCACGCTTCAGCTTCGCTGCATAGGCATTGCACTCGCGCGTCAAAGTGCGCGTTAAAGTGGCGTTGGCGGTATCTAGATGTGTTCCCGGCGAGGAGACGGAGAGCATGGATTTAGTCACGTTGGCGGCGGCCATCATCTCGAGGTGTGCAGAGGGCGACCACGACGGGATTGCCGGCATGCCGTCGGGATACAAGTGCCCGTTGGCGGCTAGTGCCTCTTGATAGAAGGGCGGCAGGAAGTGCGAGTGCACGTCTATCCGGGGTGGGAGGGCCATGACGGTGACTGCTGTGAGGGTGGTGATGAAGAGGGTTAGGAAGAGGGTCATGGAGGTAGTCGATGCGCAGGAGCTGGGTCAAAACTGCTGGCTCAGCGCTATGTATTTTCTGCCGTATTTTCTGCCCTAGGTGCGGACATATATACCACAGAAGAGGCTCTCGAATAATGGCATGTACGACACTGTCCGGCTTGAGGCTCTCGGGACCCCGCCCCGAGGCGGTCCGGTGCATGGCAATGAGGATCTACAGTACCTGCAGATCTGAGGCTATTTTGGTGGCCATTATTCATGACTGCATTCTCTAGGCAGTGTGACATGGTCGAAGCCAAGGATTCACGACATCCGGTCCGCGATTGAGACTGTGGATAGACAGGGATGAGGAGGGGCACGGAGGGGCATGTGGGACCCGTTCAAGTGAACGACGGCAGACTGCACTGCCATCCATCACACCACGAGTCTCCCTACAGATGACTAATGATGCCGTGCAGCATCCCAAAAGCAAGGATAAACGTCTGCTGTCGGAGCTACAGTTGGTTCTGCCGTTGCAGCTGTGGCTCCCGCATGTCGATCAAGCATCCGGATCCCGCTCGCCGACGGCGGCTGCCCCACATGCGCTTTCTCTGCCACAGCTCTGCCCTCGCTCACAATTCCATCATTCGCCGCCATGACTCTGCGCACCTCCCACCACCACCTCATTCCTTGTAATCGCCATGGAGAAGATTACGGATAAGATCAACGCCCTGCCCGATGGCGCAAACTACTTCTCGCTGGAGTTCTTCCCGCCCAAGACAGCCATGGTAAGCCCGCAACTCGTGTCGGCGTCGGCGCGCGCGCACCCTGCCAATGGGCTGCAAGAGCAGTACTGACAAGTGCACAGGGCTTCGCCAACCTGCAGAGCCGTCTCGAGCGCATGTCCCAGGCCCTGCGCCCGCTCTTCGTCACCGTCACCTGGGGCGCTGGCGGATCGACGGCAACCAAGTCGCTCGAGCTCGCCGAGATATGCCAGCGCCAACTGGGCCTCACCACGTGTCTGCACCTCACGTGCACCAATATGGACCGCGCTCTCATCGACGAAGCCCTCGAGCAGGCCAAGGTGCTCGGCATCCGCAACATCCTCGCCCTGCGTGGTGACGCGCCACGGAGTGAGGAGTACCGGGACGAGGACAAGTCGCCCGAGCAGGACTCGAACAAGGACTTCACCTGGGCCATTGACTTGGTTCGCTATATCCGGAAGCAGTACGGCGACTACTTCTGCGTTGGTGTCGCTGCATACCCCGAGGGCCACTCGGACGAAAGCCACCCAGAGCACCAGAATCCGAGCTACGACATACCGTACCTGGTGGAGAAGACGCAGGCGGGCGCCGACTTCATCATGACCCAGCTGTTCTACGATGTGGGGAAATTCGACAGGTTTGAGACCATGCTGCGGCAGCACGAGAGCGGCGCCTTCAAGACAATACCAATCATTCCCGGCTTGATGCCCATCCAAAGCTACTCGATTCTGAGGCGCACCACCAAATTGAGCCACGCGAACCTGCCGGCAGATCTCTTGGCGCGGCTGGATGCGGTCAAGGCCGACGACGAGCTGGTGAAAAAGGTTGGTGTCAAGATCCTGGGCGAGATGGTGGAGCACATCAAGGCACGGCGCGACGCCGCGAGACGAGGATTCCACTTCTACACACTGAACCTCGAGAAGGCCGTGTCACATATCCTGGAAGACACACATCTGATCGGGCAGATACCCACCGAGAATGACGAGGATGCGATCGAGACAACGCCAGCTATCAATCTGGAACCTCCAAGCGGCGTACCTTTGAACAAGGGAAGACGCCGGCTGTCGTCGCTGAATTCGAGTCCACACAACAAAGTCATCCGAGAACGATTGTCAGCATCGAAGTCCAATCAGTCCTACGAGACGTCCGACACAGAGGCCGGCATCCCACGCGGACCCGTCAACACACGCGCGAACACACTGGCCATCTCGGAGGGCGAAGGCTCACTTGGGCGTGAAGCAACATGGGACGACTTCCCCAACGGTCGCTGGGGTGATGCACGCTCACCTGCCTTTGGAGAGATCGATGGCTACGGCCCCACCCTCCACGTCTCCAACGCCTCCGCCCTCAAGCTCTGGGGTCGCCCAGAGACGCAAGACGACATCTCTACACTCTTCAAGCGCCATGTCGAAGGCACTCTCGAAGCTCTGCCGTGGAGCGAACAGACCCTGAGCGAGGAAACAAAAGCCATCGCGCCGCAACTCTTCGCTCTGAACGCAAAGGGCTGGTGGACAGTAGCCTCCCAGCCTGCCGTCAACGGCATCCGCTCGACCGACCCTGTCTTTGGCTGGGGTCCCAAGAACGGCTACGTCTTCCAGAAGCCCTTCGTTGAGTTCTTCATTCCCTCCGCCGCATTCGCCGAACTCAAGCCCCGCCTCGACGCTCACGAGCAGATCACATATTTCGCTGGTAACGCAGCTGGCGATTTCGAAGCAAGCCAGGAAGATGCTGTCAACCCTGTTACATGGGGTACGTTTGCGGGCAAGGAGATTGTGACGCCGACGATCATTGAGGCCGTCAGCTTTAAGAGTTGGAGAGATGAGGCGTTCAGTATCTGGAAGGAGTGGCAGAGGATCTACCCAACCAAGAGTGCCACGGGAAAGCTCTTGAGGGAGACGAGGAACGATGTCTGGCTGGTCAATATCATTTGGGGCGACTTCGTCGAGGGGAATGGGCTGTGGGAGTTTCTGGGCGCCTCAGGGTGAGAAGATTTCCAGCAGAGTGGGTGTTGACAGTGTTTGTGATTGGAGTGAATGACGTTGAAGTTGAGACTGGATAAGTAGCTTCGAATCGTTCAAAACGAACCAGATATTTCTCAAGGTTGGAGTTTTGCTCTCACTGCGAGTGCGTTATCGCGCCACACAGCACTTCTCGCGTCATGTGCAGCTACAGTCGATCGACATGGCTCGCAAGTTGACTACATATTGCTGAGAGCTCTACTGCTAACCACAGACAAAATGCGACACACCAGAAGTCTACACAGGAGAAGCTTTGATACTGGATTAGGCTGCTGTCAAGATCGCACAATACGTCCATGGGCTGGGGCGGTCGCAAGAGCGGCCATGTTTAAGATGCGGTGCTTCCAAAGTATCTTCGGGCCTTCGCATCCATTGCGCGTTTGCGCATTGAGACTCCTGTGATCAGACCACAGCCAATATGACACAAAGGATTGGGGCGTGATGCACCTATCGTGGATATGCTTGCCAATACAATAGAGAAGGTAGGCTTCCCAGTCTGTACTACATCAGAGCTGTTGCTCTCATTCAAAGACGAGCAATGAGTTTGTCGCCAAGGGCCTGAATGCTTTCCTCGAAGTCATCATACGACTGCACGTTCCATTTCGCTCCTCCTGCACCAGGCACGGCATCAGTCCCCGGGAAAGCGACATACAGTACGTCGTTTTCATCATGGCCTGAGTTGCCGTTGATAGACGTGCCATAACAGGCCGTAGCAAGCGAGATGGACGCTTCGCCGATAACAGGGGGCCCATCGTTGCCATTAGTGTCACCCCAGACACCATAGATCTTGATGAAGAAAGTTAGCAGGAGAATCCAAGGGGTGCAACAGGAGAGCCTACTAGCTGGTTTGCGCAGACAACTGCCATTACACTAAGCGGTTGAATGCCATATTGCTTCGGATCGAACGATGGATTGTTCCCGTCGTTTCCGAAAACCACAAACGGGTGGACCTTTGCGTTTAGGTCATTAATACCAGCACCGTAGCTTGCTACAGTGTCTTTGAACGATGTCTGACTTTGAGTGTCCCCACTGCTACCACAGCGTCCGTCTTCGCCTGCACCGCCTTGCTGGCCATCACAGTCAACGTCCATATTTGCCAACTGACCGCCAGCACCGTGAAGATAGAGAACTCCACTTGTTTGGTCCTGGCAATAGGAGAAAGCTTCGTGGCGTATTAGAACATGGCTCGCGTTTCTGGGTAGTAATCGACAATGTCTTACATTTGGGTCCTCCCTGAGTGCCGTAGAAGCCTCCCTGAAGCTCGTGGGGACAGCTTTGATCGCTTTTCACTCTGTTGTAGAAGTTCAGGACATTTGTGGGAACATCTCGGGCTACCACAGATGGATTCAGAGCGAGGGCAACAATGGACAGAGCGGTCAGACTATGAGAATGCATAATGACGAAAGAGGTCGTGAAGACGCTTTGAAATGTGGAAATCCGGATACAAGAGCAGAACAATAGTTATAAAGCAGAGGAGATCATTTTATCGCTCCGTTTATGACGTCGCAGTAGAGCCTGTTTTATGCTGTGCAGGTCCTAATGAAATAACTAGGTACCACTTTATGGCTTTGAGAGTATCTAACGTTTGTTTAATTACCGGTGAAATACCCATCAGAGGATCCGAACGGAAGCTGATGCAATCAAGTACCCGGTGTGATAAACCGTACAGGGGGTAGCACAGTGGGTACTACATCGACTATATGCCCTAGATCTAAGGAACCGACGCGGCTATGGTCACCTTTCACTTGCGGGTGAATGAGATGTCCATACGTACCAGCATGCTTTGTTCGTAGGCCACCAGAGGCTTCTGATGCCGAGTAAATTGGTGTCGTTCGCAAATGTTTATAGGCTCAGGGATATGGCTATAGTCTGCGGCCATTGTCTTTTGCCCGTGAATTACGGCTGTTATATTAAGCTCTTTATGCCTTATCTCCCTCGAGGAAGTAGGTCGTTTCGTTGAATATGCTCGTATTCACAAACACCGGTCTTTGCCGATCACGACTTCGGAGTGTCCGACTGTTGAAGTTCGGTTCGGCCCGACCTACATACCTAGTCAAGTGAGGCTCAACTGTACCGCACTCCGCCGCCTTGCAGACGCTTCAACACACAGTACCGTGACTATGTCTGAGCATACATGTAGACGTGCTCTGCTGGCAAGGAGATAATTGAGACCGGTGACTCCTTCTGGTAGATCTGGCAAGAAAACGGACCATGCACGGCATGTAACCATAACGTATCAATCCCACACTGCGTCACTGAATAGTCCTGAATAGGAGAGATAGATGAGCCTCGGTTGTTGGTCTTGCTCACTGCCGCTGCATGTGCTGATGCAACTAGTATTGCTTACATAGGAAGCCGAGTCTAGCATTGGTGTTGCTGATCGCCTGCGATCGAAGACTCGTTACCCAATGAAAGACTAAGTACAACTGCATGTGTAGAGCCAGCATGCAGCAAGCTGTGGTGTTAAAGGTTGAGGCTTATGCATTCTGGCTTACTTACCTTCATTTGCACCTCACGCTAACTTTCGACGCTAGCACGGAGGCTTCCCTATATCGCTTAATCGGTCTCCATATCGGCCCAGCAACAAGAAACGTTGATATTCAGGTTATATAAAGACACATTCGGGCACTGCAGTCAGATTCGTCCACATCCCCGAGCTTCAGCAGACAATTTCAAGCAAACCTAAGATGCTGTCGCTTACTTACCCTATTGCTCTCGCATCTCTTGCAGCCTCCGCGCTCGCAGACATTCACAATGTTAATCTTCCTTCAAACTTCTTCGATACTCCCCAGAGTGGTATTGGATCATGGTATCGTGCTTCGGCCGGCCAAGACTCGACCAACGGCAAGAGTTGGTGTGCGTACACGTACTACAACAGTGATCCGATTTTTGCTGTGGTATGTATCGATCCTTCTGACACTTCTGATAAGCGTTACTGATGACGGCTTTGGTCAGTCCCTGAAAGCGATGGGTGGCAAGACTTACAACTCCGACCCAGCCGGTTGGAAGGCAGCGACACAAAAGTACTGTGGTCTTGAGGCGACTGTTAAGGATCCTAAGACTGGAAAGCAAATGCTGATGTACATTGGCGACGCGTTTGATGATCGATATGTCCATGTAAGTGGCCTGACAATGTGCGGTTTCGCGACATACACTTACTGACACGATTCATCAGTCGACAGGCTCTATCGACATTATGATCGATGCCTTCTCAAACATCCACGGGAACCCCAACGGTAACAAGAATGAGGTTATCAAGGGCGTAGAGTGGCAACTTACAGGTCGTGTCAACACGAAATATGCTGCGGCTGGCGCCGTATGGCCGACAAAGGCTGGTGCAGCACCAACGACTGCTGCACCGAAACCATCCAGCTCTACACCTAATGGTGGTGAAGGCGCGAAGTGCAGTAACGCGACGAATTGTAAATCTGGCATGACATGCTTGGCACCTGATGGTGTTTGTAGCACGGCCGCTTGCAATTGGGGGTGAGAGCTTTGTCCACGCAACGACTAGAATGCGCTAACAAGCATTTTTAGATGTACCGGATGGACTTGCAGTGCTGCATCACCCTGCCAGAAACCGAACACATGTGTTCAAAGCGTCTGCATGGCAACTTAAATAATGCTTACAACATAACAAATGATAGATAAGTTAACATAAAGTATTGTTAAAGTTTTACTTTAAGCAGAGCCTATGGCCCCAGATTCTATTCGTTCTTCGGAATAAGCACGATTTCTAGAACGGTAGGAGTAGTCACCTAGGTGAAGCATTCGATAATAACTCAGAGAGTCAGCAGCTTCAATTGCTCACAGATTACACCCACTCGCTCGAATTGCTTGGCTTGCAATTATCTAATCAAGTAAGTTAAGCTAATCAAGCCAGCTTGCTGGTTAATAACTTTGCTGTCGGCGAGCGATCAACCGTCAACAAACGGGTGGATCCAACCAAAAGATCAAGTTCTTAGTGTTTGTATCGGCTGGGCTGTAAAGCTTATCTCCGTCTCGGAGTGGATGCAACATTTTCAGATTGCTAAGGCGGCTACCGGGTGACAATCGTTCGAATAGGTTAGTGTAAGGCGGCCTATTAACCCCAACCACTTGTCCCCTGCTCACTTCAGCACCCTTTGTCTACGTCGCTGCCTATCTTTTATCTGTCGCCTCGCGCACTCAACACCATTTTCACAATAATGGCTGCCGTCGCTCCTACCACAGCTGTCCAACAGGTTGTGGTCAAGAAACCAGAGGGTTTTGACCTTTACTCTCGCTTTGCCCTTGCCGGTGCACTGGGCTGCTCCATTACACACGGTGCCTTCACTCCAGTCGATGTGTACGGTCCCATAATCTCTAGCTCAGCCACCATCCACTGACACTGCTCGCATAGTGTGAAGACCAGGATACAGCTTGACACCTCCACTTACAACCGTGGTATGTTTGGCAGTTTCCGCCAGGTTATCCAAAATGAAGGTGTTGGCGCTCTAGCAACTGGCTTCGGCCCTACATGTGCTGGTTATTTCATGCAAGGCGCGTTCAAGTTTGGAGGATATGAGTTCTTCAAACAACAGTCTATCGACATCCTTGGTCTTGAGAAGGCTCGCCAGAATCGCGCCCTTGTTTACTCTGTGTCTGCTGGTTGCGCTGAGTTTTTTGCCTCTGTTGCTCTCTGCCCTCTGGAGGCTACCCGTATTCGTCTTGTCTCAACCCCCGGGTTCGCCAACGGTCTGGTTGGTGGATTGGGAAAGATTCTCAAGAACGAAGGTATTGGTGCCTTCTACTCTGGATTTGGTCCAATCCTTTTCAAGCAGTACGCTGATTTCCCCGTTTATTCTCACGCTGTGGGACACAAACACTACAGCAGAACTGAGGCTAAGACTTACGCAGGGTGCCTTACACAATCACTAAGTTTGTTGCCTTTGAGAAGATTGCCGAGACCATCTTTGGCATGTTCGATAAAGCTTCCATGTCGTCAGGAGCCCAAACTACTGTCAATCTGGGATCTGGTCTTCTCGCTGGTTTCGCTGCCGCCATCGTCTCCCAGCCTGCGGACACTATGCTGTCCAAGGTTAACAAGACAAAGGGTCAGCCTGGTGAGAGCACCATCTCTCGACTTATTAAGATTGCTAGCGAGCTTGGTCTGCGTGGATCTTTTGCTGGTCTCCCTACCCGTCTTTTCATGGTAGGTGGACTCACTGCTGGTCAATTCGCTATCTACGGCGACATCAAGAAGGCTCTTGGTAAGTTCGACACATTGCATCCTTGTCTCTAAATTATCTGACTCCGTTTGCAGGTGTTTCTGCTGGTGTTGAGATTTCAAAGTAAAGAGCAGGTTTTAGTCGGTTTCAAGGGTTGGGATATTCTTGAAAAGCTAGTCCAGTCACCAGATAGGTATGTGCATGCTTTAAAACCCGAAGCACTGCGCATCAACCTGCAGAGATCTTACAGTATTCTTTGTTGTCAGCTGTTTCGCTGTTATGGCGATGTCCTAGTATCGAATCTTGCACACTACCAAAAAATGGCTGCTTTTGCTTGAAGCCCGCTGGAAGGTCATCACAGCCAAAGATATTGTCGTGATGCATTATGTCGTGATTGTTGCTCATCTCACAAAAGCAATTCACGGTGCTTCTCCACTCATTTACTAGCCTTGACCACGTGTCTCCTGATACGCTCTCGAGGCGCTAGCAATATAGTTAGCGCAAGGGATAGCCCCCGCAGGATCACTCTGTTCCGGGAGGAGGGTACCCTCCAACAACTGCCAACTCTAGCGTTCGACGGACTGCCCTGCCTGGGGACAGGTACCCTGGACCGGTCCGACGACTGCTGGTTTGGTGGCCAGAAAAATACCTTGCTCAGGATGGAGTCACTCGACCAAACTCTGGTTCTGGTGAATGTTGAGTCTGGACTTAGCACTTAGAAGCGACACGCGTCTAATACGAAGCATACTCACATATTGCCAGATTAGCAACGCAAAAAGTGGACTAATTGGATATCAACTTTGCACTGCTTGGGGATCCTAGTGCAGATGACATACACAAAGATTTATTCTAACACAATATTAAAGCACTTTCTTTAGTAAGAGCTTATTACAACGAGATCTTTTGGTTGAGCATACCCACAGAACGACACGATCACCACTGTCAAGGAGCCTTTGTGCACCAGAACAGCTGCACCACAAAGTTATAAGAGAATTGAAGAAAAGACCAGACAATCGCTCGAGATATACTTTAAGTCTAGCCAACAGTAGAGGTAGTTTGCAGTGTCTATACTCTCCACGAGATATTGCAGCGATTTCTAGTACTCTAAGAGAATTCATCACTTCAAGCGGGCTTCTGGAAAGCTTCGCAGCTCTCCAGACTTCTCCAAGTTCTGCTTCGCACCCTAAAAAACCCCACTGCTAACTCGCACCGCTTTTCAATGTACCTTAGTCAGGATCTGAATGAAACAATACACGAAAAGGGATTCTGTTTGTCACGAGGTAGAGCCAGAACACAACAAAAATACTGAGTGACTTCGAAGCTGCGAGTGGCCATTGTGGTTTACTCACAAGCCTATCCATATCATTGTCGCGGCTGCAGCACTGCCATACGCGAGGACATCAGAAAATCTTGTACTAAGCTTACCTCCACGCAACCCTCACGAACAGGGCCCTATTCGGCCTCTTTTGGCTGAATATTTTAGTCCTAGTGGAGAATCGACGCCTTCTAGTTATCCATTCAGGCGTAGCTCTGCATTACTGGTAGCCTGATCGCGGCCGTTCAAACACTCTGTACGTACAGCAACTACACTTGTCCCTCTGTAATCCTGTAGACCTGCACGTCTCTTGTACGCAATGCCGAGAAATTCTACCCCTGTGACTTCTAATTGGATGTTCTGCACAAGCAATCTAGGAGAGCACATCTCTTAGAAACACCTCTGCGCCGGTTCCTGTAACTAAAGCTGACTTCTTTACCCTGTTCTAGGATGCTCAGGCAAGCAGCTTTACTGCAAAGAACGTCTTCAGCTTATTCAAGGCAACAGATGTACACCTATTCAACCCTCACCCACAACCTTTTGATTTTTGGGTTTCCTTCACAGAGGCCCCAAAAATACCAGCAACTGACCCAGCACGCTGCGGCCACTCTGGGAGTACCTCTAGCGTCTGCCTAGGTCCCCTGCGCGACGCGCAAGGGAGCTTAATAGGATGGCAGAGCCTCCTACTTCCCATCACACGGGGTCCCTAGACCCCAAGTCCCCCTAACATCTCAATTCTCGCGCCCTAAGACAGCTTCAGAGGGACGTGCACCATCAAGCACCCCTGCTACTAAGCAGCCAGAACCCTGGTGGGGGCGCTCCTAAACCTAGAGTTTACGATGCTGTCCAACGCTACATTACTAAGACTTAGCAAATTGTCTAGCTTTAGAACACTATCACCACGGCCTTCGCCGCAGCTGTAGATCAACACGCAGAGGGCTACACTAACCCTCAGGAAGCTAGGATCGCCGCAGAGCTGCAGCAGAAAGTCATCTAGGCTCTAACCTCTATCTCCCCAAGCAACTCCCCCCATCAGGAAAAATTTTTCGAAATCCGGCCCAGACTGGCCGTTGCTGACAGTCGTGGCATGGTCGTGCAACGGCCGTTCAACAGCCCCAACGGCCCCAATTTGCGCCTAACAGCCCTAATTTCAAGCTAATAGCCCTAATTTCGCGCCAACATTGCTAGTAGCTAAAACACTAAGTGCCTATATTTAACAAACTTAAAATAACGTACCTCACAGGCGAGTGGCCGGCCCGGGCGAGTGACCGGATTTTGCCAAGACCACACCAAACTTCAACTTCTCTTGCATATTACAGCAAGTTACTGCAAGTTACTGTAACTTACAGTATACAGCACTAATCTACAGTATCTTGCGCATCTTTTATGCACGTTCGCGCATTATGCCCTGCCTTACTACACCTACTACAGCGTTGTAAAGACTAAGTGCCTAGTTTAACATGCCTCTTCTTGCTTACCTTCTTCCTATTATTACAGGCTTTAACTCCTTTAGGGTAGTTAAGCACACTCCTTTACTAACAGTAAGAGTCCCCTTCCTCTAGATCTACTTCCTCTTGTGTGATTTACAGCGTGTGGCGGCCTTATTAGCAGCTTGAAGCTCTGCGACCTAGTTGCGCACTAAAACTAGTGAATGCGCTATTATCTCTGCGCCCTTAGTGAGCTAATTAAGAGCATTAACTATTAAAGTTAGAGAGCTATTACTATGTTATTAAATCCTCTCTTTAATAAGCTTTAATTACAACCTAAATTCTAGGGTGTTCTGTAGAGTTTAAGAGTGCCACATACTCTTATCTATAGTAGGTAGTAGTGGAGTACACAGGCGCACTTTAAGCTTTATTATTACAGCCTCTAGATTAAAGGGGACTAAGCTAGCACCTCTAAATCCTCCCTAGATATTGCTCCTAGTAATAGAGGCATTAAAAGCTCCTTTAAAGCACAGTAAAAACTTAAGTTTTGTGATGCAAGTAATCTTGTTGCGCATTAGCAGCTTAGCTTAGCAACTATAGGCCTTCTTTATTAGGGCAAAACAACCTACGTCAAGCAGCTGCAACAGGTGCAATAAGTGTGGAGGCATACACAAGGTAACAATCTTGTGTTCTTTACAGTACTAGTAGAACTTAACTAAATTGTGGCTCTTATAGCTGTCTAGAATAAGCAGCTAATAGCTGCTAACAGTGCGCTCCTTTGTGTGCTTATTAAAGTGCTTCAGCTACTTAATACTAAGCTTGTTATTAGTCTAGCTATTCTTAGAGATAGTAATAACCTAGTTATAAGGTAAAGATAGCTCCTTGTACTAGGTAGAGAGGTAGTGCTTGCCTTAGAAGATAATAAAGGGTAGGATACTCTATCCTAATATGTTAATACCCTAGATAATGCTAGTCTACTCTTGGTTACCCTGCTGTACTGTCTTTAGTCTTCTACAACGCTCTAAGCCTGTAACAACAGCTCCTATTAATATAACACCTATTATAAACCTAGACTTGTTTAAATTATAGGTGTCTTTATCTAGGATACTATACTTAGCTTTAGTATTCTCTACTAGGTAGAACTAGCCCTAGATTACCTTAGGATCCTTGCAGAGGGCTCTCTTGTAGTTGTACTTTTAATTAAACTTAACTGTGAGCTCTAGGCAACGCTTAACAAACGTGCTAGCCTAGTTCTTGCCAACAGGAGGCTAGTGGCGCTTAGTAAGTAGAGAGTTGGCCATATCCTCTACATTAGTAAGCTAGGGTAGGTATCCTTACTTGTCTAGCTTTAGAACATGCTGCACAATCACCTCCTCTTTAGTGCTTGTTAGCTTTATTAAGTTAACCTTATAATTACGTCTTAAGAGCATTCTAGCATGTTATTGTCTTAGCATTCTTTCTAATACCTTATAGATTATTACAGTGCGTAGAATAGTAAGAGTTGCGTCTTATTTAAGAGCCTAGATTGCAAGCTGTATATCTAGTTTCTCTAAGACGCTTTAAGCCTTTTTGCGTTGAGACATCGCGGGTTGTATGAAGTTTGGTGTGGTCTTGGCAAAATCCGGTCACTCGCCCGGGCCGGCCACTCGCCCGTGAGGTACGTTAAAGGTCGTTTCAACCCCTAGGCCTCTAATTATTTGCTTTACCTTATTAAACTGAAAACGTTACTGCTATCCTGAGGGAAACTTCGGCAGGAACCAGCTACTAGATAGTTCGATTAGTCTTTCGCCCCTATGCCCAAATTTGACGATCGATTTGCACGTCAGAACCGCTGCGAGCCTCCACCAGAGTTTCCTCTGGCTTCACCCTATTCAAGCATAGTTCACCATCTTTCGGGTCCCAACAGCTATGCTCTTACTTAAATCTATCTAAAGACATCAGGATTGGTCAATAGTGCACCCTAAAAGGTTCCTACCTCTGTTCACTTTTATTACACGCTTAGGCTTGACACCTAAACACTCGCATAGATGTTAGACTCCTTAGTCCGTGTTTCAAGACAGGCCGCTTACAGCCATTACGCCAGCATCCTAGCAGATGCGCGGACCTCAGTCCAGGCTGGTTGCATGTCGTCTCCCCTATAAGTTCTCCCCGAAGAGAGGTACATGACAGAGACCTTTATCCAACTGCCCAAACTGATGCTGGCCTGCCTATAGAAGAGTGCACTAGGTAAAAACCTGGATGAGCAACTACAGGCAAGTCTGGCTGCAAGCGCTTCCCTTTCAACAATTTCACGTGCTTTTTAACTATCTTTCTAAAGTGCTTTTCATCTTTTAATCACTCTACTTGTGCGCTATTAGTCTCTAGCCAGTATTTAGCTTTAGAAGGAATTTACCTCCCATTTACCCTGCTGCCCGGCCGTCCGAGCCGCCCGGCCGTTCGAGCCACCCTGAACACCAAAACAGCAGCTTAACTTGAGGCTGTAGAGCCACGAACGATAGCTATTATCGCGATATATTCTAGAGTTGAGTTCTATAGGTATTGATTAATATATATAGCTATCTATATTTAGCTGGGAGCTTGATTGCTCGGCCGTGTCGTGATTGAGATGGTGGTGGGCCTGCTGCAGCACCTGAGGCATCATCACCACTCTGAGGCTGCGCAGCTGCTCTCTTTTTTGAGCCTGCCTTAGTAGCTGCCTTGAGGTCTCCCCTCTTGCCTCTTTGGGCGGTTTTTTGAGCTTGCTGGAGTTGTTGTTGAGTCCTACGAGCTGCCTGTCGTGAGGCTCAATCAGCAGCCTTATAAGCCTTCTCCTCTTGCCTTATTATTTGAGTTGCTGCCCTTGCTGCACGCTTCTGTTAAGCTGCCTAAAGCTTCTCCTGTTTCTTCACTTCACGTAGGCGAGCTGCCTCAGCTCTCTGGTGTTGTAGTTGCTCTTCTTCAAGCCATTGTTGAAGCTGGCGATCACGTGCCTCCTTCACCTTCCTTGGAGACCAGAATTTAGCTCCACCGTGATACTCCTCTGCCTCTAGAGGCAGAGCCTTGCCTCGCTTTCTACGCTGCCTCTTATTGATAAGAGCTTGCATAAGGCCTTGAGCCTCGTGTGTAAGAAGGCTTTTCTGAACTAAGATAGAATGGAAGGCTCAGCTGAGCTTTTGAGCTCGTGGATCACTCCTATCGTGCACTACCTGGCGTAGAAGGCGCTCAGTTTTCCGCCAGTTAGAGGCGCTCAAGGCTGAGGAGTCGCTATCACTTGATTGGCCTGATTGAGCTGGCTGATTGAATCGTTTGAGTATCACCTCTAGGTTAAGAGGTGAGAGGCTAGCTGCCTTAAAAGCCTTGAGTATAGTCTCTTTCTTGAACAAGGCCTCCCAGGCAGCCATAAACATAGGATAGAAGTCTCTCTTACTTATAGAAGTAAGCCCTTAGCACCTCTCTATAAAAGCAGCTACCTGGTTTAAGTAGGCTGTTGAGAATGGCTTAAACATGACAACGTTAAGTGGCTAGAGGGTGTGAGTTAAATAAGGGGGGTATACTGCAAGGAGGATTCTATTCTAGTCACAGTACTTAATAAAATCTATCGTGAGATAAGATCTATGGCCATTAAGGATAAGTAATTAATAGCTCTGCCCTGCCTTCTCCTTTGTAGATTAATTAAACACTTGTTTAAGCCAGGATAGTCCTATATTGTTGTTCGTCCAGCTAGAAGGTGAGGAGGATATATACACTCGATCCTCTGGCCTTAGAGCCTGTAGCCAGGTGTCTTGTATTAAGCCTGAGGCTGATTGATATATCAGCGCAGGCGCAAGGGCTGATCCATGAGCACATATACAGGCCAGCAGCGTTATCCACTCCCGATTGCTATCCTGGATGTGAGCCTTAATCTTCCCCTCCTCATATAGCCTCCTGCTGAACACCCGCTTTAAGCGAGTAAGTATTCCTAGCATACAGCCCTTCTCATCCATATTATATATATTATGAGGCTCAATATTGTATTGGCTGAGCTTGCTGCGCAGAAGCTTAAAGTAGAGGCTATACTTTGATAGAGAGTCAGCCTGGTGGCGCGAGCGATCGATGCTATGGATAGTGGTCCAGCGTGAGATGAGATGGACGTCGTGGCGCTGGATATATTGATCAACCCAGCCTTTTCTAAGCTCTTTTTTCGCGATCTCCAAAGCAAAGCGTCGTATCATAGGCCGTGAGGGAGGTAGGCCTTGCCTTGTAAGGCGCTCAATATAGCGTAAGAGCTCCTGCTCTTGCTGGGGGTGGAGCGCTTGCTGGTTTTCTGCCATGGTACTGCGTGAGCCTGCAATGCCTTGATGCCTCCGCGCGAGCGTTGTACGGTTACAGTGATACTCTGCTGCAACTTTACGATAGCTGAACTGTTCTCCTGGTTCTAGCGATTCGATCGCTGCAATTGCTGCCTCAGTTGAGCCCATATTGATAGATTTATCGCGTGTTGAAGTCTGGTTGTTGTTTTGGTGGGGTGGCTCGAACGGCCGGGCGGCTCGGACGGCCGGGCAGCAGGGTAGAGCTGCATTCCTAAACAACTTGACTCGTTAAAGGGGCTTTACACAGTAAAGGCTAGCGACCACGTACAGGATTCTCACCCTCTGTGACGTCCTGTTCCAAGGAACTTGGACCGCTGCCAATGCCAAAGCGCCCTCTGCAAATTACAACTCGGACACCAAAGACGCCAGATTTCAAATTTAAGCTGTTGCCGCTTCACTCGCCGTTACTAGGGCAATCCCTGTTGGTTTCTTTTCCTCCGCTTATTGATATGCTGAAGTTCAGCGGGTATCCCTACCTAATCTGAGGTCAAGAGTGTAAAAATGTACTTTTGGACGTCGTTGTTCCGAGTGCAAAGCGCGAGATGTACTGCGCTCCAAAATCAACACGCTGGCTGCCAATTCTTTTGAGGCGAGTCTGCGCGCAGAGGCTAGACAAACACCCAACACCAAGCAGAGCTTGAAGGTACAAATGACGCTCGAACAGGCATGCCCCATGGAATACCAAGGGGCGCAATGTGCGTTCAAAGATTTGATGATTCACTGAATTCTGCAATTCACACTACTTATCGCATTTCGCTGCGTTCTTCATCGATGCCAGAACCAAGAGATCCGTTGTTGAAAGTTGTAACTAACGTACTCCACAAGCGAGCCGCTCACCCAAGCGAGCCGCTCACTTTTGCCAAGACCACACCCAACTTCACACAACTTACAACACTATAGTAGCAACTTAGGTCCTACTGCAGGCTATAGTACACTAAATTATTTAGAAATACCTTACACGTTATTCTTGCACGTTCGCGCGTTGTGCCCTGTCTTACCACACTTGCTACAGCGTCGTGAAGACTGTGTACTTGGTTAAACGCGCCTCCTCTTGCTTGCCTTCTTCCTATCACTACAGGCTTTAAACTCCTTTAGGGTAGTCAAGCGCACACCTTCACTAACAGTGAGAGCCCCCTCCTTTTGGATCTGCTTCCTCTTGTGTAATTTACAGCGTGTGGCGGCCTCATTGGCAGCTTGAAGCTCTGCGACCTGGTTGCGCACTAAAACCAGTGAATGCGCCATCATCTCTGCGCCTTTAGTGAGCTGATTAAGGGCATCAACCATTAAAGTTAGTGAGCTATCCCTATGTCGCTGGATCCTCTCTTGAATCAGCTTCAATTGCGACCTAAATTCCAGGGTGTTCTGTGGGGTTTAAGAGTGCCACGTACTCTCATCCACAGTAGGTAGTGGTGGAGTACACAGGCGCACTTCAAGCTTTGATATTACAGCCTCTGGATCAAAGGGGACCAAGCCAGCACCTCTGAATCCTCCCTAGATATTGCTCCTAGTAATAGAGGCAT